CCCCCCCAAGGGCGGGGGGGCGGGGTCTTCCGGGAAACACATGCTGGACTTAACTTAGGGGGCCCTGTTGTCTGTGCCTGCAAGACCTGTCTTGGACTGTGTTCCTGTCATCCAAATAAACCTTCTGCTTTACTGGCTGGCTGAGAGTCATGGTGAATCGCAGGAAGCCGGGGGTGCAGGGCCCTGAGTTCCCCAATACTCCGTGACACCCCGCGCTGCTGGGGACGGACGGACGGACCCGCAGCCCCCTGCCTGGAGCAGCCTGCGCTGGACGCAGAGCCTCGCTTCACCAGCTGCCTTTAAAAACCATCCGTTTTATTACCTGGTCGGTCACGAGAACAATGGGGTGGAGAGCCGAAAGCAATGGCTGCCACAAGAAGGGAATCCACCCTCCCCTGATGCCACAAGGACGGGGTGTCACCAGGGGCCAACATGAGGGGAGGGATGAGCCCAGGGGGGCAGACCCCTGCTTGTCCCTCCCCAGCCTGCTGCCCAGTGTTCCCCTCCCAGAACAGGGGCTGCCCCAGGGCTGCCTCTTGCTTTTCAACCCCTGCCTGGCTCTTGGGGCGGGGGCACGCTGGGATAACACAGTGCGTGTCAGGGGCAGGGGGCTGTGACCAAACGGGGTGGGGGGGGGGCCAGGAACGAGGCCGGGCACGATAGTGATAAAGAAACAAACGCGGCTGCTAAGGGGTGAGGCTGGGCCGGGCCGCGTTCCCCACGCCCAGAGAGAGGCGGTTCTGCCAGTGGAGCCAGGGGACACTAGCTAGACCGGGACCCTGCCATGCCCCCAGTGGCCTGCCCAACACCAGCACCCACCTGGCTCAGGCCTGGCACGGGGCGGCCCTGCCAGTGCAGGGAAGGATTTGGGGAGGAGCGCTGCGCGAGTAGGAGGGGCCCTGCCAGAGCCAGGAGCTGCTGGGGCCCCCACAGATGCAGCCAACAACAACACCGCTGCAGCTGGCGCAGAGCAAAGCCCCCGGATGAGCACCCCCCACACATGGGCCCACGCACAGAGACACGAACACTGGGCTGCTCTCCACGGGGCACGCTCCCCGGATCGGCTCCCAGGGACACGGCTGCCGGGCCGGGCCGTACCACGGCACAGGGTCACGACTGGCTGTGGGGGATCCACTGAGTGTCCATGGGCCGCCGCAGAAGCTCCTCTACGTGTCGCGCGACGTCCATCGTGTCGTCCAGGTCGAACTCGCCCTCGGGATCCAGCACAGAGTCGGGGCTGAGAGAGAGAGACAGGGCGAGCCTGGGGGAGGCATCCCAGCATAGCCACGCCGGGGGGGCCGGGAGCAGCGTGCTCCAGCTAAACGCCCCCCCCCAGCACGGGGAGCCCCTCGCCCCCGGAACGCGGCTCAGGGCAGGGGAAGGAGCAGCACCTACTTCTGTGGGTAGACGTTGTAATGCGGTTGGGAGCACACGGCCGGCGACGGCGCCTGATCCATGTAGGTGACCGTTCCGGCGGCGGGATCCCCAGAGGCGCTGGCAAACCTGGAACAGACGAGGGGCCGGCGCGTCAGCCTGCTGGGGGCGCTGGCAAGGGAGCAGCCCCCCGACGATGGGAAAAAAGCAGGGGGGCCCTGAACACCGAGTGGCTGCATAATGCACAGAGTGAGGAGGAGGGGGCACAAGGCAGAACTGAGGGAGCTGCTAACAGTAGTAAGGGGGCCTGCCCCCCCCGCCCCGCTGTAATTTGAGCAGTGGGGTCTTGGTATCACACTGTAGGGCCGGCTCCAGGGCAAGTCCAGCCTGGCTGGAGCGACTGCTCACGTCCTGCTGGCCCCAGCCCTGGCTCCAGCTCCCTCGGGATCATGGTGCTGCTGTGAGGGGCTCTGTTCGGGCCAGGTCCCTGTGAGCCGGGGGGAGGGGGCCAATGGCGCCTTACCCCCCCCCGCCACGGCCCGCGTTCACACAGGAGGCGCCTGCGGCCGTGGGGCCAGCAGACCCAGTTTGGCAGCCGAGCCGCGTTGGGTGTCAGTCGCACGCAGCCATCGACAGGGAGCCGGGGACGGACTTGAACCAGCGCAGAGCGGGCTGGAAAGGCAGCGAGCCTCCGCGGGTGAGTCCCACTGGGAGCTCCTTGCTGGCACTTCACCCAAAAGGCCAGGCCGGGTGCCTGCAGGGGAACAGGGCCTTGGCTGGCAGGATTCGCCCAGGGCACAGCCCGGCTTCCTGGAGCGGGGAGCCCAGGCACAAGCCGCCTCGGCGGGGAAGTACTTACTCTGGTACCACCTGTTTGATCTGGGGCTTCACGTAGCCATCCACGGCTTTACCTGCAGTTGGAGGAAAGAGCCGTGAGCCCAGCAGTCCGAACGCTGGGGTCCTCCCGGAGTCACAGGCCGGCTGCGGGCGAGAACCTGGCGCTGCCCCGTCACCCCCAGGCTCCTGCTGCAGCCTGCCGGCGTATGCGCACCCACAGTCCGGCTCCTGCCCCGTGCGTCCCGCCAGGCTGCAGGAACCTGCCTTCCCCGCCCACGCCGCAGAACACCCGGGTCAGGCCCAGCCCCGCAGCTGCCGGGGCCAGGTCTTGGCAGAGCCCCTCGGCCAGCACCCGCCGGGTCGGGCGGACCTGCCCAGCCGAGAGCGACTCACAGAGAACCGGCGTGTAGTACTTGGAGAAGACCTCGTCCTTGGGCCGGTCGGGGAACACGTAGTTGAGGTAACTGAGGTCGCCCAGGCGGTCGGCCAGCGAGCGGATGGAGAAGTCTCTGGTCGTGAAGGGTTTCAGGTTCCACAGGTTGCGGTCGGCTACAGGAGAAAGGTGGCGGCATGAGCCGGGCCGCGAAGGGCCAGGCGTGGCAGGGAAAGGAGCCGAGAGCAAACCCAGCCGTGCGCTCAGTTGCCCCGACCCTCTGTGGGCCGTCCTTCCCCGCCAGCCACGCTGGATGGAGATCACCGGCCGGCAGGGCAGTGAGACGCCCCTGTTCCTTCAGCTTTTCCCCACCAGGCCCCCAATGGAACCATGGGGTGCCCCCCCCGCCGCCAGCCAGCGGCGAGATGCGCCAGAGGAGCGGCAAAGCCAGCCCAGCGCTGCTCCGAGCCCACCCTGACTCACGCGAGTCGAACTTCCAGGCGATGGTGATGCCCCCGATCTCGGAGTCACTGAACCGCAGCAGGAAGGTCCCGTCCGGCTTGTTGATCAGCAGGTCGTGCGCTTGCTGCTTGTTGACGAAGCCCAGGATGGCCCTGGAGCACAGAGAGGGGGGTGAGGGCTGGCAGGCAGGTGGGGGGGGCTGTGCCGTGCCGGCCGTTACGGGAAGGAGGGTCTCACCCGTCGTTCCAGTGAGGCTTCTGATGCTTCTTCAGCACTTCCATGACCCCGTCGAACCACTGCCAGAAGGTGTAATTCCAGCCGGGTAAATTCTCCTGGGTGAAGAACAATGCGAAGCAGTGATGGCCTGGCCTGCGAGCCGTGCCACGCCACGGGGCTCTCTCCCGGCCCGCAGGGTAAAAGCAATCCACGGCCGTGCCGGAGCAGCCTGGACACGTACGTCACAAACCCCAGCCCTCCCCACCCCCCGCACCGACAAGAACACACCACACGGGAGGGATGGCGGCCAGGGCTGCGGGGGGGACAATGCTCGAGGGGGGCGGGGAGGATGTCCGGCCTGGGGCTGAGGGGGGGACGGCGCTTGGAGGGGGGTGGGGGGGACGGCACGTTGAGGGGG